CCGGCCGGGTGTGCAGACGAGGATGTTCATTCTGCCCAGGCGCTCGCGCTCATCTTGGAGGTTCTTGCCGCCGATGACGAGGCCAGCGGAGAAGCTGTGGCGCTGACCGATCTTTCGTAGGACTTCGAAGATTTGGATGGCGAGTTCGCGGGTCGGGGAGATGATGAGGGCGCCGAGGCCGTCGTCTTGTGTCCATTTGCGGCGGTGGAGTATCTCGAGGACCTGTACTGGAATTAGTATTTGCGAATGAATAAATAGACGGTTGATCATATGGGTGATGATCGGAGTCGCACGTACGGGTATTAAGAATGCGAGGGTCTTTCCGCTGCCTGTCTTCGCGGCGCCGAGGATATCTCTGCCCTTAAGGGCTAGCGGGATGGCCTTGCGCTGGATGTCGGTCAGGACTTTGAAGTGCGACTTGTCGAGGCCCGTCGCTGTGGCTTTGGATATCGGGAGGTCGGAGAAATTTGTCAGGTTTGAGGCATCCTATAGCGTCAAGATCGCATTCAATCAGTATATATACATATTTCGGGGTGACAGAGATATCGAAGTGAAGGAACTCACGAACTCTTGCGCCGCCTTCTCGAGGGCTTCGAGTTCCTCTTCCTCCCGCTTGCGCTTCAGCGATCGGGATTCCTTCCGGCGGGATTTGAGCGGCGGCAGGGAGCCGGGAGGTTTGGCGCCTTTGGCCATTGCTGCGCGGGTACAGCCTTCGACACTATCTGGTCTGGTCTGTCTGTCTGTCTGTCGTGGTAAAGAGTGAAGATGTTTAAGTTTGTGGGTGCAATTTGCTCTGCTTTCGCGAAAAATTTCTGCCGAGGTGTCTGCGGCGGGCTGTTCTGTTCTGTTCGGCTGGACGAGCGAACTGGCGCGCGGGCTGCAGGATCCCTCGTCAAGCTTCCTTCACCACTCCACGCCACCAGCCAGCCAGTGCCGCTTGGTCCCCTCGCCGCCACGAAACATGTCGTCGTCAACAGCTGAGAAGAAGGACAGAGAGAAGGAGAAGGAAGAGGAGCCGCCAAAGGCCGACGAATCCGAGGCCGAGGTCGAGATCGATAAGGAGTCGCTGAGCACCATCGAGCGGGAAGAGCTGGAGTTCCGGAAGGTACGTTACCGAGCATCACGCAATTGATAACTTTGGTCAGCCCAGCTAACAGCTCTATCTCTACAGGATGCGGAAATACAAAGCATGTCCCCGATATAGCTCCTCGTCTACATCTTGCGCTGCTGCTAACCAATCGACCGTCATGGTGTCTAGGAATCATGAACGCCTTCAAGCTCGACGCGTATGTCCTACCCCTCGAATCGCCTCTCACAATGTATAGACATATACTTATTTATAAGCACATGCTGACTATGTTGCAGTTATGCCGTGCTAGATCTCCAACCCGGCGTCCCCGAATCCGACATCAAGATGCAATACCGCAAGAAGTCCCTGCTCATCCATCCCGATAAAACCAAGAACCCGCAAGCACCCGACGCCTTCGACCGCCTGAAAAAGGCCCAGAACGAGCTGATGGAAGAGAAAACTCGCACGCGCCTCGACGAGGCAATCGCCGACGCCCGCATGCTGCTGCTCAGAGAACGGAAATGGACCGTCGACCACCCGGACCTGCAGACCGAGGCCTTCAAGCGGGACTGGCGCGAGAAGACAAAGGAGGTCCTAATCGACAACGAGCTGCGGCGGCGAAAGCAGATGAAGGCCCAGCTGGCAGAGGAAGGTCGGGAGCAGCGCAAGGCAGAGGCGGAAATCGAGGCGCGGAAACGGAAGAGAGAGCACGAGCAGGCCTGGGAGGAAACGAGGGACCAGCGGATCAGCTCGTGGCGAGACTTCCAGAAGGGCAAGCAGCCGTCCAAGAAGAAGAAGATGAAGCCGATCGGGTGATGGAGTCAATCACCTCCATACCGCCAGTATGAACGTTGAGGCTCGGTGTATACGGATACAGACTAACTATCGGAAGGGCGTTTTGGAACTTGAACTTGAGGCTTGAGCGCTGGTGCGAGGTTCGCGTTAATGTCGCGTTTACATGTTGATTCGAATATATACCCTTGATCAATTGAAGCAACTGTCCTCTGCAATGGGCCATGCATGCATATAAACTACACGTATACGTACTTGCTCCGTCGGCTGTCGTAATCGTCGGAAACGTGACGCAGCTGGCGCGCTTCCGCCCGCCATTTCCGTTTGTCGCGCCACCAACGACAGCCGAAACTGGCTGCCTGCCGGCCGCACTTCTCGCACGACGTAACATCTTCAATCCCCAGACCCACGACCAGCTAATCGATCGCACATGCCCGCCGGCAGCAAGCCATGAAGCCATGACACCTATCCATTCCAGATCTCCGCCGGCAGCCTCACACCCATCCATATCGACATCGCTCACGCCTACGACTAGTATAGCCATACCTATACTCCTGTACGGAGTAACGTCACTCCAGATATCAACCTAACCCCCCCTGTCACGCCCGTCAAGCATGTCAACCTCGCGCCTCCTATCCCGCAACCGGTCAAGCGAGGACCTCGTCAGTCCCCGACACCGGCTCGACGACGATGACCATGGCGGCGACGGCGATATGCCGCAGGAACATATCGAACTGCAGACGTTCCGACGGAACACGCTGAATGAGGAGACGGCATCGTCGCAGGCTGCCATTGACGATGACGATGATGTCGATGCCGATGATTCGGATATGGATGAGACGTATCTGCTGTTCACGGCGGAGGACACGAAGCGTGTTGTTAGGCGGTTCGATCGGTATCTGGTACCGTTTCTAGCTCTGCTGTACATGCTGAGTTTTCTGGATCGGTCGAGTAGGTGGTCTCCCTGATATGACTAAAATGAAGTTCAGCTGGCCGGGGGTGGGGTAGATACGTTGGAGGTCGATATCGTATCGGTTATAGTATAATGTGCATGCTGACGAGTTATCTTATCCGCATAGACATCGGGAACGTGAGTTTATTTATCTATATATCAGTTGGGTTGTCGCGAGTGCAGCGGAATTAATGAGATGCACCAGGCGCGCATAGCAGGCATGGAAGCGGACCTCGAGATGTCGCACGGCCAGTACGAGTGGCTGCTCACCGCATTCTACATCACCTATATCGTAAGCAGCCGCTACCTGGACCTATTTGACATCCTTATCGTGGAGCTAACAGTGCTGGAATGTAGTTATTCGAGTGGATGGCGCTGCTGTGGAAGGTGTTTCCGGCGCATGCATACGTCGCATACTGCGTGGGAGGGTATGTTCTACGATAACCACAAATCGAGTGGCGATATAAGAGCACTTAAGCTGATCGATGGACTACTCAAGCTGAAGTTGGGGGCTGGTAGCTTCACTCCGTAAGTCGCCATCATACACTTGTGATAAATGCATTCAACTAATGCTATCACCGGTAGAGGGCATTGTTCCGAACTTCGCCAGTCTACTCCTGGCCCGCGCCGCTTTGGGCATCGCAGAAGCGGCGTTCGGCCCCGGCGTCCCATTCTATCTCTCGTTCTTCTACAAGCGCGAGGAGCTAGCCTTCCGCACAGGTCTATTCATCTCTGCCGCCCCGCTGTCGACGGCATATGCAGGCAGCCTAGCGTACCTATTGACATCACTGAGCACGGGTCTCGCCCCCTGGCGAGCGCTCTTCATCATCGAAGGTTGGCCGAGCCTGATCGCGGCGGTGGTAGCATGGTGGTACATCCCCGACGGACCAGGAGATGCGTGGTTCCTGAAGAACGAAGAGGAGAGGCAGATCGCCGTGATTCGACTGCAAGGGCATAGCAGGCGGCAACGGCGGCTGAGTTTCTACAAAGCCGTCAGCGGCAATAAATCAGGCAAAGACGCCGGGTTCGACTGGCGGGAAGTCGTGGTAGCCCTTTGCGAGCTGCAAAACTGGTTGACAGCTGTAAGTACCCAAAAAATACTACTCAAGCACCCTGTACTCATTCTAATCGGCCCATCCGCAGCTCATGTTCTTCTCCTGCAACGTCGCCTTCTCCTCACTGCCCGTCTTTCTCCCGACCATCATCAACGAAATGGGCAACACCGCACTGGCCTCCCAGGCCCTCTCGGCACCGCCCTACGTCGTCGCCTTCATAACCGTCATCATGGTCTCCTACTTTTCCGACCGGCTGCATTCCCGCTCCATCTTCGTAATCAACTGCGCCCTCGCCGGCGCATTCGGCTACGGCGTCCTAGCCTTCGCACCCCGCCTCGGCCTATCAGACTGGAAATGGCGGTACGCCGCCGTATATTTCGCAGCTTCAGGCATCTTCGCCGCCATCGCAATCATAATACCATGGACGGTGGGCAACTCGGAGAGCGCGGAGGGTAGAGGCACCGGCGTCGCCATTCTAAATCTAGTAGGGCAGTGTGGCCCGCTGCTCGGGACGAGGCTGTACCCCGCCAGAGACGGGCCGTACTACACCATGGGCATGACGATATGTGGGGGGTTCATGCTCGCGGTTGCGGGGCTGGCGTTCGCGTTGAGGGTCATGCTTGCGAGGGAGAATCGCAGGCGGGATGAGGCTTATATGCGGCGGGTGAGGGAGGAGTCGTTTGTGTCTGGGGAAGGGAAGGGTTTTCGATTCATGTTGTAGAGTATGGCAGCTAGAGGGAGTCGACTTGTTGTATGAGTGATATGTGCATACTTAGATACCGGGGAGGTTTAGTTCTTTTCGTCTCACGATCTTGGTTGTTTTGAAGTTCTTGGTGCATGAGCTGTCAGCGATTGGTGTATTGAGTATTCAGGCTACGTATTGGAGCTTGCAATGAATATATTTGAATGACTGGTTGGGATATCAGTAATCAATTCAGAAAGCCGTATAGTACTATATCGTAGACTCGTAAAACATCACTTCTTGACATGTCGGCACAAAGAGCATCTCGAAAAAGCATAGGTTTAGCTATCACACAAACTGCGGCTTTGAGGCCGAACGCGAGCTGTCATCGTCGCTAAAAGAAATGGTTGCGTCGACGTCGGTAAAAAAAAAAAAGGGCAAAAGAAGTACTGGAGCAGTGGCGAATTGAACGCCAGACCTCATCCAAATGTGCCGGTTATGGTACGCTAAGGAAGCGCTCTACCAACTGAGCTACAGCCCCGATGACGAAACAACGGTCATTTTACTGTATATAGAGTCTCGATATTTTCTACAAATACGTTTGCTTGGATACGCAACCTTGCGCCAACGTACAACCCCATGGTCCATAGTATAACCCGGCTCACCGCGATAGACCCTGCATACGACTAAGTCTGTAAAAAAAATCCAAGCTTCGACTGTGGATTGACTAGCCCACTTAGCTCGCCAGCTGGCATTTGGTATCTACTCACGTGGTCTTCTCCAACTCGATTATGATCATCGGCCTAGAGAGTAGCTATAGCTATAGTATTGCTGCCGTTATAATAGTCGGTGTAGTGGTTATATATGTGGCTGGCAAGCCACCCTGCACGCGGTAAATTCACACAATCACTCAATCGCATTCAGGGACCTGCTGCAATCTCTCTCCCTCGATCACTGCTTCCTGCATTGTTAATTCCAGCAATGTCATGCATCTTACAGACAGATCCCTACACCTGCAAGCCCAGGTGGCGCCGCGCAGCGCCTCCAAGGGTTCGTAATATATTATAAACACGCCGTCTGCATTTTCGTTTCTATAGAGTGGCGATCGAGACCCCACTCACGTGGGTCTTGTTTCCTCAATGCATTGCTACGATTGTCTTTGGAGGTACCTACATACCTAGATACATGCACCGGTCAATTGATATTTGACCGATGATATTCGAGGATACGCCGCCTGGCTGCCAATAGCGATGTCAATGTTTGGCTGGTCGACATCCGCCCGTCCAAGATCAGGCGAATTGCTTCACAGAATAACGCTGAACGGTAAACAATCATGACATCCCAACGACGTACTTGTAAGACCTCCAGCCACGTTGACAGCGACGATCTGCAGGCTAGGATAATCGGATCGCAAGGCCGGCATCATTAACCAGACGAGCGTGCAGGAACACGGCACAAGGCAGGCGTCGGTAGTCGAGGGTGAGGCAAATCCACGGATCCACACAGCTAGAGATAGTATATCATGCACAATCCTATTGCATGGGCTGAGCTCATATCTACGCAGACCAAGCTTCTTTGATTCAAGGGTTCACTCTTAAATTCTAGACCAGACAGAATCCGGGAGACCATAGGTACATGTAGGATATACCGATGTGGCGGCGTACAAATTGAAAATTTTCACAAAGTATCGCTACATTACAAGAGCAGTGGGGCCCGGGCTCGCAGATCTCGCTAGCGGTGTGGCTGCGAGCGCGATTTCGGTTGAATAGATTGGTACGCTCAGGCACGAGGCCGAAGTAGGCTCTTCGCCAGCTCATCATATATGCACATGATAGTCCGGTTTCGCATGCAGAATTATAGCATTATAGTCTTCGATATTAGATACAAGTAAGGTACTTGTAGGAATATATATGTGCCGCCGGAGAGTTTGGCTTGCGAGACCAGGAAATATCATGTCGGTTCCACGGCAGAGGAGGTTCAAGGGTCGAAAGGCGCTGCAAGGAAAACAAAACCTTTTTTCCGTCCCCATATCTCATACAATATTATAGTATGTGGGGCTATAATATGGTGTTCATTAAGGGCTAAGATAGAGGAGAAATTCAACATGCAGCGCCAGAGCTATAGCGTCTCACGCGCAAAAGTGGATCTATGGATTGAAGTCTACTGTGGTGTACCCTCACCTACTCGAGATGCACAATTTGATATCAATATACACATCGCGATATTTCAGAGCCTGTAAAGTCAAGTTAACCCTTGGTTTTATACCATTTCTTATCATTAATTTGATTTTAATCAAGAATCAATATCACCGTAATGTCATCCTAATTCTTACTTCCAGCATCCGCCGATTCTTCATTTAGAAAAACAAAAAAATTATCTCCATCTATTTTTATTGCGATTTTTTCAGGCTCCGAATTTCAACTTAAGCACTTGTGCTTTTATTTTGATCTGATTTATACTGAAAAGTTCGTTGTTTTAGAGCATCAAGAAACTTGCGATGTTTTCGTTTCTTGTCTAAGCCAGGGCTAAGCTGTAATGCTAAATTAGTGTACAGAGGATGGCTTGTATACATGCACCATTGTTCTAAATTAGTGATGAGCACTCATCAATTAGAATATTTTTGAGGCCTCAGCATAACGAGTATCTGAAAATCACTGTGTGCCGCGCCCTGATCTTCCGGCCCCTGAGCTTTGTCTATCAGAATTCTCGCTATTTTAAGATCGCGCATCGATAGCGCATGGTCGAAGAGCATTCGCCCAAGGGCTGCTATCTCAACCAATCCAAGAAGGGTCTTGCCGATTTGAATATTCTCCTTATATTCACTCGTCGGATTGAGCATAGCTTCGAAAGATACATCAATACTGGTAAACCCCGGAATACGAATCGACAACAACTGCCATAGTCTCCGAATGTCTGAAGATGTCCTCAAACTTATTTGGTAACCCTGCATGGATATCCAACAAGTTTCGGAGTCATCGGTAACCCTCTGCTGCAGGGTTTTCATGAAGAGATCATAGTAGGCGCGACTTAATCGTTCGATTCCAACCCAGGAAGGATCCGATGGTCTGCCGTCTTCTCCATCGTTTCTGATTTTGACAATCACCTGGTAGGGAGACTGAAGCACGTTGAATTCGTATATCGAGGTGCTGTATCGATGACTGTAGCTATAAAACAATGACCCCATAACCGAACGACTCACATGTACCAACTGATGGATGTCAAGCTGTTCTCGCCTTGTAAGGTACTTCGGGTCCGCAGGATCATCGTTATCACTCCATGGGCGACTTTGTATAAAATTTTGAATTTCCGGAGGAGATCCTTCAAGCGAGTTCGCTGCTTGAAATTCAAACTCGGGCTCACCCTGTGCCGCAGCTGGTTGGGGGATCTCGTGTTCGTGCTGGCTCGCGGATGACCACGCAATCGCCAAGCCTGTCATGGTCGATTGTAATAAAGAACCCGAACCACGGATCGCCTTTACTGCTTTGAAATCTCTGTCATCTCTGGCGTTATTCTCGAATGTATAATCACCCAGGCCGATAAAAAGCTCTGGTAAATCCTTCTTCCATCTGATCAGGATGGCCCCGACTCGTCTCCTGTAATTGAGTACTGAATATGGTTCCCCAAAGGTCATACGGCAAAGATAATCAATGATGTATACTTCGGTCAGCCCATGAAGCGTAAGCAGCAGGCGCCGATAGATGCTTTCCTTTCTCCTCGGGCGGTCAGAGACCAGCGTGAAACCGGACTCGGTGTCGGCAAAAATAAGTATTTTGTCCGTCGAGAGCTTATAATGATCGTACAGCCGTTTAAGAACAAGTTTGGTTTGATTCGAAGGCTGGAGGATTGTTACATAACGGAGCCCAGTATGGCCTGCTCTAGTTGCTTCCAAGCTGTCCAATCCGAACGACATTGGATCATACGCTCCTATCCACAACGCCCAGATCGCGTCCGCTAAACGCGCGAATTCAGTCGCGCCCATGTCATACTCCCAATCTGCAAGCTTCGTGTTTACAGCAATGTGACCGCGAGCCTGGTCGATGGTGAGCGAGAAGTCCGGAATCTTAGGATTCTTAGAGGGAAGCTTTGTCAAGTTATATTCACACATTGTCAATTCCCCATTGTTGGTGAAGTCAAACCCTATCTTTTCTCTCCATCGTGATTGCATTCTGTCCAGGTCAAGAGCCGAACTGCGATCGTGCTCGTCACCCCCATTCCGGGAGGAGCTTGGATCACTATCATCAGCCCAATTTTGAATTTCTTTTATAAAATCCGGCGCATCCACAACATTGCAGGGCTTCTTTGAAAGCGGAGGCTGGAAGCTAAATTGTTTAATATGCTTTTCCGCAAACGTTTTGTCAGTATCAATGAATTCCTGCCGTTCCATAGGATCGAATTGTCTAAGTTGAGATTCGAAACCAGCTTTATCTTCGAGGAACCTGATTTCCAGAGTTTCCATCCAAGTCCGCATGTGAATGCCTCTTTCCAGTGCCTGTTCCACGGGGTCTCTGGTGCTCTGCCCGAGTGACTGCCGTTCGCGGGCGACACTCTTGCTCAAGGCGTATACTACGTACACGACAAGGCAAGTCCCATGCGTTCGATGCTGTTCGAACAGCAACCTAACCAGTTGGTACTCACCAAAAATATGCGCTCCATCGTCCAGCATTTCCTTGAGGGTGATTACTTCCAGAGATTGCGTCGCAGCCAACTGTGAACCGATAGTTTCAAGCTGGCGGCTGCCCTCTTCAGTCAGTATGTCGATGACCGATACCGCGCCTGGCTTAGTACCGATTATCCCCTGAGTTATTAGGGCTGCAGCTGGTCCAGCCATGTCCAAAAAGGTGATGGCTTCTAGGGGGGCGACACCTGCGAGATGAAACCAAGCTGAGAGCAGGATTTTGGCCAGAGGGCTGGACGTCGACAGCGACGCAACCTGGGCTAACACCGCTGGTGTGAGCTGCTGAATGTTGTGAACTATAAGATGTCTCTCAAGTTTTGAATAGCTTAAACCAATTTCTAGAAAATTTGTGCCGGAGTCTACTAAATATCCGATGGAGACTCTGATATAAGATGCAGCATTGGATCCCCACCCCCCCGGCCGGGACTTAGGCCTCAAGGGATGCTGTTCGATGTCGAATTTCCCACCGCGGTGTTCACTGACAATCAGGCGGGGGTCATTGCTTCGTGGCCATCGCGGTCGTTCCAAACCAGGGATTTCCAGAAAATTGGGCATAGATGACTGCGGACGGAGTCCTATAATAATTGTAGCGGACGGCGCCTTAGCAGCCGTATCGTGATCGAGGACAAAGGCGATAAATTGGATAGTCGCACCAGCAAGTCCCTGCGGGAAATACTGTAGCATCATCCGGACTGCAGTAGCTTCGGTTGATCCTAGGAGCAAATCGGTGTACCATCTCTCTCTCGAGGTTTCATGATTCTTGTTAAGCAAATCGATGTTGAAATAATACGCGTTTACGTTTGGATTGAGGTTTGGATCTTGGTAATTTTGAATTCTGTGGCCTGGCAGCTCCGACACACGATTCA